TCTCTGTAACAGCTTCACACCTGTTTCTGTACTGGGGACCTGGCCATTCCCGTCTGTGCAGTCTGAGTTCCAATTCAGGAATTTTAACAGCCATTTATCGCCAAGGTCTTGGTTCAAAATCTCTCTTGAGTTTGCCTGGATTTTTTTTGTCATTGTCATTATTGTTGTTACTCAGCCGGGTGTCTGACAGATATGGAAATCCATCGGAAGGCTTAAGAGTATTAATAGTAATAATCCTTGCATTTGATATAGTGATTTTCATGTCAGGAGGACGTCCCAAAGCACTTTGCAGGAATACTGTAAAGTGTAGTGACTGTAGGCAAGCATATTGGAATACTTTACCGTATATCCTGTAAAGCGCTTTGAGACGTCTCGACAACATGATCCTGTAGCTCAGTGGTTAGAGCACTCGCTTTGCAAGTGAGAGACCTGAGTTCAATTCCAGGCAGGTCAGGGCGAAACCTTGGGCAAGTTTCCTTACTCCACACAGAGCCTAATGATAATCCCTCCAAAACCAAAAACAATAATAAATTGGTCATTTTCAATCTACGACTGTTTGTGGGACATTGCTGTGCGCAATTGGCTGCCGCGTTCGCCCACAAATATACAGTCAATTCACTTTACAGTGTGTTCTGTGAAGCGCTTTGGGACGTCCTCCCGACGTGAAAAGCGCTATATCAAATGCAAGGATTATTATTATTATTATTATGATAAGGCACTCTATAGATGTAATTTTGTTGTTGTTATATCAAATGCAAGGATCATTATTATTATTGTTTGAAGATAGATAGGGAAGGATGGAGGGGTGAGTTAAAGGATAGAAGTAAAGCGTTCCAGAGGTTGGGGGTGTAATGATTGGAAACTCAGTCACAAGTGGTGATGAGGAAGGGACAGCTGACACTCAACAGGCCTGTGTCACCTGAGCGGAATGGGTGGGCAGAGGAGAGACATGTGAGGAGATCAGAGACATAGGGAGGTGCTAGGGCTTGAAGGGATTTATATGTGAGGGTGAAAATTGTCTGAAAAACAGACCTTTGGAGTTGGTTTGTTGATTTTGGCGCTACTTCTTTGGATGCAATGGAGAAATGTAAGTGTAACATTGTATTTAAACATTGAAATACAAAAAATGGTTTTAGAAAAGCTAAAAATAGATCAGTTGATATAAATTTAAAGTTAAAATAGTAAAATTAAATGTTCTGAGTTTTATTTTATTAGGGTGTTACTATAGGAGTAAAGCTTCTAATGTTACCTAAATAACTTTACACCATAATGGGATATGAGTCAATGGTAAGGGTAACTCAATAAGTATTCTTTGTACAGCTGCAATGTCGGAGGTGTCGTCATTTAATAATAATAATAAACAATATGGTAAAATGATAAAGAATTAGAAGAACAACATAAAATATTAAAATGTTCAGTGATGATATAAAAATGGAGCTTGGATTAGATAAATATGCCAAAGTAATCTTTATCGTTGGGAAACTGCAAAAAGCTGAACACGTTCAGCTAGACCAAAATACAATAATAAAAGAACCAGATCAAACAAAGTGTATAGATATCTTGGAATATGTGAAAGTGATGGAATAGATCATAAAGGCATGAAATTGAAAATGTTTCTGAATGTATAAGAAGAGTACGTTTTGTACTTAAAACAGAAATAAAACATTTGCTATTATTGCAATTGCAATACCAGTAACAGCATACAGCTTTGGTAAAATCGATTGGATGATCAAAGATGTGGAAAATATTGATAGAAAAACATGAAAATTGTTGACCATTCACGGCCTTCATTGATATAAAAGCTGATGTCCAACATATTTATATACCAAGAAAATATTTATCGTTATAAACATATTTATCTACCAAGAGGCCTGATTGAAAGTGAAGCATCTTATAAACCAGCAATTGTAAGTTTAGCTGAATACATCAGAACAAACCGGGATATTATCAAAATGATAAAAAAACATGAAACCAGAAAAAGAAAATTTCCATTGTTAAAGAAGCAATCAAGATCAAACAAGAGTATGACAGCCATCAAAATAAAATAGAAAGTAACTCATCAGAAACAACCAAAAAAGGAACATGGAATGAAAATTGTCCTTAAAAAGAAAATGATATATTGTAGAAAAAATGAATGGGAGAAGAAAATCATGCATGGTCAATTTCCAAGAGAAATGAAAGAACAAGGCGTAGATATGAACCAAAGCTACAACTGGTTGACCAACAAGGATTCGAAAGCCCAAACCGAAGCTCCCATAATATCAACACAAAACCAAGCTACTACTGCCCATTATTAGGAAAATAAGATCCTAAGGATGGCCAATATGTCATCAAGCAACAGAAACAGTAGACCACATATTGTCATCATGTCCAGCCCAAGCGCAATCAAGAGTATCTGATCAGACATGAATGGGATCCTTCAGATTAAAGATTCATTCACCCCATTGCTAGTGTCAGTGGTGCATTGGTAGCACTTTCACCTGAGTCAGAAGCTTGTGGGTTCAAGCCCCACATCAGGACTTTAGACACATATAGTTTTAGCTGACACTTCAATGCAGTGCTGAGGGTGTGTTGCATTTTCAGAGGTGCTGTCGTTCAGATGAGACGTTAAACCGACATCCCAGCTGCCTGTTCATGTGGATGTTAAAGATCCCATGGATCTATTTGAAAAGAGAAGGGAGTTTCTCCCGATGTCCTGGCCAATAAATCCCTCAAATAAAATTCACTCACTCCATGGCTATTTGTGGGACAGTTGCTGTGCGCAGCTGGTTGCCGCGTTTCCCCTACAAAATACAGTCTTTACCGTATATCCTGTGAAATGTTTTGCTTTGCTGTGTGCAGATTGGTTGCCATGTGTGCGCACAAATACAGTCACTACACTTTACAGTAAAATACTATGAAGTGCTTTGGGATGTTTTGATAAAAATGATAAGCGCTGTATCAATTATTATTATTTTGTTATATTATGTAATTCTATGTAAGCACACAGTCACTTCACTGTATAATTAAGTGCCTGTTGTCTGTCTGTCTGTCCTGTCTGTCCTGTCCTTCCTTCCTTCCTTCCTGGTTCCCCAGCAAGCATGAGCAACATGGTTTTGAATAAAAAGAAGTTTAATAGGGTTGGGTGCTGGGTGAGTTTGCAGACTGGCTTCTCACCTGTAAGCTCTGGATTTTCTGGTTGAGTGAAAGCCTTTGCATTGTTTGCAAAGTTCTTACATGATTCTGGGCAGTCTCAATCCAGTTCTTCGTGAATGTATATGCTCACACCGCAAAACTGTCCTTAATTCAGTGCTAAATTGGGAATCTCACTCAGAGAGATAACAAATGGCCATCTGAGGTTGGGACAGGGTACAGGGAGCTTTCTTCTGTGTCCTTCATGAACACAGATGTCACAGGACTAAAATCGCAATCACAATTCTTTTCTGTCAGAGGAACTTGGAATAGTTTCAATGTTTCATTGTCAGTTTTGTTTTGGTAGACTATATACCTTTCACACACAGAAATCCATCACCATGTTGATTTCCAAACCAAACGACTAAGAGTTCCACAGTTTGTTTGTTTATCATGGATTGTGGATTATGGGGAAATGCACCTAATCCTGGAGAGTTTAAAAAGACAAAGGTTTGAGGACGCCAGAGGAGACATTAAAGTGTCAATTCTTTCAAAAGTAAATTAGGTAGATTTCTTTTAGGAAATAATATCTTGGGATACAATATATAGTTTATGCCAAGACATGTGCATGCGACTGCTAGGATGGTGGAAGGCGAACTGATGGACCTTGGTCTTCTTTTGACCAGCATTTCTTATGTTCTTAAGGGTATTGCTGGTGTTTAACCTGCTAAAACTCTACAGTAGACCATTACGGAACCTACTAATACTTCCCACTCCTTCCAGCTAGGACCACCCAAGTTATCCTAACTAGCCAGATTGCCTGGTCCATTATCAAGTGCTTTTGCTCGAGTGCCCATCCAGCATGGTGAATGTGCTTTGAGATGTCCTTCCGAAGTGAAAGGCGCTCTATAATGTGAATTACATTTGTGGTGTACTGCGGACCTGTCTGTCTCAGGGACCGGAACACTGAGACCACCACAGAGGATTGATTTGATTCCGATGTCCTTTGCCAAGTGTGTCACCTTGGAGTCAGTGATGTCTGAAAGAGCCCTGCTTACCTCCCCCATCTCCCCCCACTGACCTGGAGGTAACCAGGATAGGCATTAGTTAGGCATTAGACATTTGCCAAGTGCCCTGTGCTAAGGGGATAGGCAGGTGCTAGGAACTCCTATGGGGAGCAGAACAATATAACATTAAATTCATTGTCAGGGGAATGCTTAATTTAATTCTAGCTTTGTGCTCCAGATGTTAAACCTTGGGGAATCCTGGTACTGATTCCTGTTATTAGTCTCGTAGTGTTGCAATTTTGCTGTCCCTATTCCTTTAAAACCAAGGTTATTTGTTTAAGATTTGAATGATTTTGAGATTGAACCATTTTGTCAAAATAATCGTCTACATTCTGAATTTCTTGCAATCTCAGTTGTGTTTGTGTTTGGTTGTGGGAAGGGAGGGGAACCCAACTTACTGAGGAAAGTCAATGAAGCGCAAGGGGGTGGGAGGTCAATACACAAATGTAAGTCTGAGTATTTGAATTATTTGAACTGCATTTACAAAGAATGTGCAGCACAGAAACAGGCCACTGAGTCCAACCAGTCCGTTTATAGTCTCCACACAAGTCTCCATCCATTCCTTACTCCCTCCCACATCCTTCTATTCCCCTCTATTCCTTTCTCCCTCATGTGAAGGTCTGGCTTCCTCTCAGATGCATCAGATTAATTTGCTTCTTAACATCACAGAAGTTGTTTCCTTTACGAATCGCTATCCAGAGATAAACAACTACAGAAAGAGCATCAGGATTCATTCACATTGTTTTGCGTGTTTCTTTACAACAACCATGATCACATTTAGTCCCAATATCCATTTCTTGCCCACAGGATTCCTTAAAGTGGCTTCGTAAGTCCCTAACAAACTGCACTGGTCCTGGCTGGGGCTTAAGTGGTGTACGATGGACCGGATCACTGAATGGAAAGGAACGGTCCTACAGTGAACGAGAATCCAAATGTTATTTAGGCAATGGCAGGTGGAAAGATTACACAACCAGCCCTGAACAGGAGGCTGAGGAAATGGAGGATCTGTATGAGGAAGTAAGGGGAGTTTGTATAGTATACTAGGAACGTCAATTAAATATTATTGAGTGGGGTTTATAGGCTATGTTATACATTGTTTAATCTATTGTACAATAGACTCTGAGGAGAGTCAATGAGCTGTATTCTGATGTATTGAAGTGTGCGTTGATAATTTTCTCCGAAACCCAGAATTGGAAACAACCTGCTTAATTTGGTCACTCAGTCCATGACTGTTTGTAAGATGCTGCTGTGTGCAATTGGCTGCCGCATTTCACCCACAAAATATACAGTCAATTCACTTTACAGTATATTCTGTGAGAAGTCCAGAAGACGTGATAAGGCACTATATCAAATGCAAGGATTATTATTATTATTAAATACCTGAAAGTGACATTTAAAAGTTCCCAATTCCTATACACCTTTGGCCATTATTATATGTAGCAGCTCATTATTTCACCCTCGTCTGTATTTCAAGGACTGAAGTGGTTTAAACAGGAGGCCTCATTGCCACCTTCTCAGTGAAGCCAAGTAACTGGTACCAAAATCTGGGTCTCCCTAGAATAGTTTTTACAAAAATATTAACAATGGACCCACCTGCACACTTCAATATAACAGCTAAATTGACCAAATATTTCTTGAAAAAAACCTATATGATGTATCTACAGGACTTGAATCTTCATAGCTGTTAAATATATATGATGTATATATATATATGATATATATATGATGTATCTACAGGACTTGAATCTTCATAGCTGTTAAACATGGATGTGAATTGTTACTAAGTTGTATTCAAAATGTGTGTTTTGTTTGGCGTTATAGTTATATGAGGATAAAAGCAGGCTATTGACATGAATGTGCCTTAATGTTTGCTGCTGCATTTTTTTTTCTGTTTTAATTATCATGACCCCATTTTTTTTCGCTGATTGTGCACATATTTCGAGGATTATTTGCTTACGCAACGATATGAAAGCTTCACAGCACCTTGCAATATCACGCAGTAGATTACAAGCAAGTAGTGCAGTTGATTCAAGCCGAATAAAAGAGATATTTAAACTTTAATAGGTCTCAATTTGTGGTATTAAGGTTAAGAAATGGATAATTAAAAAAAAAGATAATGATTTGGTCACTCAATACTACACAGATACTACTGTGCCAATTGGCTGCTGTATTTTGCCCACAAAATATACAATCAATTCATTTTATAGTGTTTTCTGTGAAGAGTTTTGAGACATTTCAATGATGTGATAAGGCATTATATCAAATGCAAGGATTATTATATTATTGAATTTCTGGCATTGGTTGTGTTGAAAAATGCAATAATGAATATCAAAAACGTACATTTCTTATTAAGAAATCTGTTAAAACATACCACAAACTAGACCCCATTTAATCAGATAAAGTCATTTGCCTAAGAAGACTATCGAGCATTTAATTCTCCATGGAAATGTCCACAGTTGTAATAAATAGGCACAACACAACATTATTTGCAATGATAACTCCACATACATTACGGAATAAATTTAATTTTTAGCGGTTCACTCCCAACAGCTTTATGATAATGGGCTGGCAGTTATGTTACTCAAATATTAGGTGTTTTAAATTGAGTTTGGGTGTTAAGTTTCTCTTTCAATTTGGACTAACGAAGACAGTGAGCACCACAAAATTATTTTCTTATATTTGCTGCCCATCCACTTTTTCTTCCCCACTTATTTTTGCTTTTTTGATACATCAAATATTTTTTTAAACTTTAGGAACCTGTGTCTAAATTTTCTGGCAGCCTGTTTGATTCAGAAGAGGGTTTTCAGCGGAAAAGACACACTCGTTCATCCGCCCTCCTGTGTGACAACAACAAGCAGAACAAGGCTGGCAGCAGACAACAGGCATCTAACTCAGTAGGCAACGCTAGCACGGAGGTTAGGAGCCCAGAACGACCCGGGGACCAAGCAACAGTCGTTAAATCCACTGGATCCAAGAGAACGCCGGCAAAGGTAGCAGAAAGAGCCTCCTAAGCATTTTATGATTGCAGCATAGTAGTTAGTGCTCTTGCTTTGCAAACGAGAGGATGTGGGTTCGATTCTCGGGTGGGTAGAAACCTTAGGCAAGTTTCTGACTCCGATGTCCTTTCTCTTCAGTTGACTATTACGGTATGCAGCCAGATGGGAAGCCTGGGCATCAGCATTGCTGGAGGAAAGGGGTCGTCTCCATATAAAGCCAATGATGAAGTAAGTTTTTCCTAAGTTTAGCACTAATCAGTCACAAAAGAAAAAAATAATTGATTCAGTATTGAGCAAATCGCAGAGAAATTATTTGTGTGTGTGAGACAAGAAACCTCACAATGTTACATCCAATAATGTATTGCATCATTTGGATATGTGTGACAAATAGTTGGCTGGTTATCCAAAAACATCTATATCATTGAAGCTAGGTATGAGCTTGGCTCATTTGGTAGTACGCTTTGCTTTAAAGAGATTCGGGGTTTAAGCTCCCTGTCAGGACTTGAGCACATAGTTTGGTCTGGGGCTAACAATAGTAATAATAATAATAATAATAATAATCCTTGCATTTGATATAGCGCTTTTCACGTCGGGAGGACGTCCCAAAGCGCCTCACAGAACACACTTAAAGTGAATTGACTGTATATTTGTGGGCGAACGCGGCAGCCAATTGCACACAGCAATGTCCCACAAACAGTCGTAGATTGAAAATGACCAATTTATTATTGTTTTTTTGGTTTTGGAGGGATTATTATTAGGCGTGTGGAGTAAGGAAACTTGCCCAAGGTTTCGCCCTGCCTGGAATTGAACTCAGGTTCAATACTTCCTGACCAGAATTCACGTTTAGCTTTTAATAGAGAATTAGATGAATATCTGTAAAGGAGGAATGCAAAAGGGTATAGGGAAAGGCAGGAGAATGTGTCTAGTGGATAGCTCTTTCAGAGAGTCAGTGATGACATGATGGGACAAATGGATGTCTATGTTGTAAATTTCAGTGGTTTTCACACTCCAGTGCAGTATTGAGGGAGCAATGCCGTGTTGGAGCTGTTGTACTCCAAGATGAGACATTAAACAGAGTCTTGTCTGCTTGTTCAGATAGACATTGAAAGTAAATAAGACTCTATTGGAAAAGGGAAAGGAGTTTCTCCTTTCAACATTTCTCCAGATTAATTGATTTTTCCCACAAAATACACAGTCATTACACTTTACAGTATATCCTGTGAAGCGCTTTGAGACAACAACAAAATTACATTTATATAGCGCTTTTCATGTCGGGAGACGTTCAAGGAGCTGGACAGTCAGAGTTTCGGACCCGAGCTGGGGGTCAGTATTGGGGAGGGTGGAGGGGAAGGAGAGTGATCGAAAGCACGGTCAAAGAGGAGGGTTTTAAGGTGCATCTTGAAGGAGGTAAGGGATGGGGTGATGTGGAGGGACTGTGGGATGGAGTTCCAGAGAGGAGGGGCAGAATGGCATAAGGCCCGCCTGCCAATGGTGGGATGGATGATTCGGGGGACGTGAAGCAGGCCAGAGCCCCCTGAACGGAGGGAGTGGGCAAGATGGTAGGGGATTAGGAGGTTGCAGTGGTAGGAGTCCTGCAGCTCAGTGATTAGAGCATTTGCCTTGCAAGCGAGACACCTGGGTTCAATTCCAGGCAGGGCGAAACCTTGGGCAAGTTTCCTTACTCCACACGCCTAATAATAATCCCTCCAAAACAAAACAATAATAAATTGGTCATTTGCAATCCACGACTGTTTGTGGGACACTGCTGTGCGCACTTGGCTGCCACGTTTCGCCCACAAATATACAGTCAATTCACTTTACAGCATATTCTGTGAAGCGCTTTGAGACGTCTAGAAGACGTGAAAAGCGCTATAATCAAATGCAAGGAGGACACGGACTGCAGAGTTCTGGATGATCTGCAGCCTATGGATGGCAGAGTTGGGGAGACCAACAAGCAAGGAGTTTGTATAGTCAAACCTGGATGTTATGAATGCGTGTAAGAGGGTTTCGGTGGACTGCGGTGTGAGACAGTAGCGGAGCCGGGCGATGTTACAGAGGCAGAGCAGATCTTGGCACGGATGTGGGGTAGAAAGGATAGTTGAGGGTCAAACACGGTGCCAAGGTTCCGGACTGGCTTAGTGAGGTGGAGTGTGCAACCATAGATGGTGATGCTATCAGTGCCTGAGGTCAGGAGGTGTTGACGGGATCCAATCAGGAGAGCCTCGGTCGTGTTGATGTTCAACTGAAGAAAGTTATTTCTCATCCAGGACTTGATGTCTTACAGACATTCAGTCAGGATAGCAGTGGTCCTGGAGGCAAGGGCGGAGGCAGAGAGGTAGAGTTGGGTGTCATCCGCATACATGTGGACCCCATGTCTGAGGATAATGTCTCTAGGAGGGAGCATATAGATGTTGAAGAGGAAGGGACCAAGGACAGAGCACTGAGGAATGGCGCTTGAGACGGTGCGGGGGCTAGAGGAGAAGCCGTTTGTGGAGATGAAGTGGAGGCGGTGTGAAACATAAAGGACAGATCCATGAGATGAGAGGAGAGGTGGTGGATGAGGATAGAGTAGTCAACAGTGTCAAAGGCAGCAGAGAGCTCAAGGAGGACGAAGAGGAACAGGGAGCCCTGGTCGCAGATGGACAGAATGTCATTTGTCACTTTGACAAGGGCTGTTTCTGTGCTGTGGGCGGCATGGATGCCTGATTGGAAGGGTTCGTGAAGAGAGTGGCAGGAGAGGAAAGAACGAAGAAGCAACAACTTGTCCCCTCCCCTTCACCCTCTATATGCTCCCCCTGTGGTGACATCATCTGCAGACATGGGGTTAACTTCCACATGTATGCGGATGACACCCAACTCTACCTTTCCTCCTCTACCCTCAACTCCACGACCACCGATGTCCTGACAGCTGTCTGTCCGACATCGAGTCCTGGACGAGAGACAACTTTCTTCAGCTCAACGTGCGCAAAACTGAGGCCCTCCTGATTGGCTCACGTCAGCGCCTCCGCACCTCAGGCACTGACAGCATCAGCATCCAAGGCTGCACTCTCCACCTCTCAAAGTCAGTCAGGAACCTCGGGGTTCTGTTCGACCCTGAGCTGTCCTTTCTTCCCCACATCCGCGCCACAACTGGCACCGCCTTCCATCACTTGCGGAACATCGCCAGACTACGGTACTACCTCACCCCTCATGCTGCTGAAACTCTGGTCCACGCCTTTATCACCTCAAGGCTGGACTACGGGAACTCTCTCCTCGTCGGCCTTCCCGGCACCTCCCTCCACAAGCTGCAGGTCATTCAGAACTCTGCAGCTCGTGTACTGTCCCGCACCAGGCTCCACGACCACATCACTCCCACCCTCGCTCGCCTCCACTGGCTCCCCATCCCCTAGAGGATCGAATTCAAGATCCTCATCCTCACCTACAAGGCCATTCACGGCCTCGCTCCCTCCTACCTCTCCGACTTACTATCCCCCCACGTACCTGCCCGTACCCTCCGTTCCTCTGGCTCCGGTCTGCTCCAAACCCCCCGCCCTAACCGCCCTACCATTGGTGGCCGGGCTCTCAGCCCCTCGGCTCTGGAACTCTATCCCCCAGTGCCTTAGCCTTGCTTCCTCCCTTTCCTCCTTAAAGGCCGGTCTCCAGACCTTTCTCTTCAACCGTGCCTTCAGCTCCTCTCTCGACTCTCTACCCCTCCTCGCTCCCTCCCTTCCCTCCCCTCACCCTGACCATTTCCCCCCTGCTCAGGTCCCGACCCAACTGTCCAGCGCCTTGGGACGTCCTCCCAACGTGAAAGGCGCTCTATAAATGCAATCTTGTTGTTGTTGTTGTTCCCGTACCTTGGAAAGGAAGGGGAGGTTGCAAATGGGGCAGTAATTTGAGAGCAGAAATGGATCCAGGGAGGGGTTTTTAAGGTTTATGATGTCGGTGAGTAGAAGGCCAAGGAGGTGCAGCTGGGAGATAAGGAGAGGGGTAGGGATGGAGTTGAGGGAGCAGGTGGTCGGTTTCATGCGGGTTACAGTGGTGATGAGAGAAGAGTGGGAGACGTCTCAATGATGTGATAAAGTGCTGTATCAAATGCAAGGATTATTATTAGTATTAGTATTATTTATTGCCACCTTGCTGGCGCAAATGGCTCCCCAACAATGGGATACAAAAACAGCCACTGTGCTGGACATGAATTACTTTAAAAGCTCTTTTCAACATCAGGCGCTGGAAAAATAGAACTTCTTTCTTTAATGAAGAGAGACAAAGTAAGTATGTTTTAATTGCCCATGGGTTTCACTGTTGTAGAATTGGTAACATCAGGGAATCATTGTAGCTGTGCTTGGCTTGTGATTACAAACTGGTAAATTGCCTGGTGCTTGAGTAATAAGGATTATGAACAGTGATGACTTCTTTGAGTCGATTCCCAAAGAACACTATTCATTACTGAAAATTGGCACACTGTTTGCACACTTCTCCCACACCCACCCGTGAAACCTTAGTACTGTCGACTCAAATGGTCACTGTATTTTAATTTATTTACTTGTATCTCATTTAAATCAAATTGTCGAGTCGGAAATCTTTGAGTCTTTGTGTGGTTCTGGACCCCAAGACAATCAAACTCACACAGACAGGTTAAAATGAATTTTATATAGCAATGTGCACGATACAGAAAGGTACGATTCCACACATCTCTGTTTACCAAGCAGTAAGTAGGAACTTGGTTGTAACTCGACTGGCAGAACGTTTTCTGGGGGTAATAATCCCATAAAAAAAAATTGGTCACTCAATCCATAACTGTTTGTGGGACACTGCCGGGCGCAAATGGCTGCCGCTTTCGCTCACAAAATATACAGTCAATCCACTTTACAGTACATTCTGTGAAGCACTTTGAGATGTTTTCATAGATTTTGGCAAAGTATTAAAATGCAAGTTATTATATTATTATAATTACTGATCGAGGAGAACAGAATATACATTGCAGGAGTTTTCTTCTTTAAGTGGTATCTTCCTTTCTTATCTTGTCTTCTTTCCTGGGTCTGCTCCAACGTCAGGCTAATTATTGGTCAATACATATGAACAAACAAGTTTTCACAACCTTCAAGACCATCTGGTTTATCTCATAAATACTTTTGTCTTGTTTTGACTCCTCACCTGACAAAACGATCTCATCTGTACATTCTGCAAGGCCATCTAATTGTCACACACAGACACCACTTACTTGCCCTGTCTCTCACATAGCACAGACTATGTGTTGCACGTTTCTTTACCCATGTAACTATAGCAGACAGAGCAAGGATATTAGATACAGATAAAATAAGACAGACCATATTCATTTCTAGCAAAAAAACAAGTTACATGAGTGCACTCATCAGCAAAACTTCACTTAAAAGTACAAATGTTCGGTAATTTTCCATTATAGGCAAAATACATTAGCAATACAATAGCATAATAGTCACTTCACAAAACGTCATCAATCCACAGTGTTAAAGTGTTTACAAGTATTTGTTTCCTGCTGGCAAATAGTATATATATTCTATATATTGCAATAGTATATATATTCTTATGTCATGAGCAACTCGCCCATGATGCCTCAGCACTCATAAATTCAGCACTTGAATCTGACTTCTTGTTGTCAAGAATGTTACCTGGAGCACAAACTGTAACATATAGAAAATGCGATTTGTGACGTGGTAATTAACACTGGTGATAATTATCACATCACACACTGCATTGCTCACCCCATAAATCTGCGAAAAATCCCAAACTTTCAGCTCCACTATATGCAACTCGCTGGAATCTATGAGGGTATTTAAATTCATTTTTGTTTGTTTTGGTCGCCGTTTATGAAGGTAAGTTAAAATACAGAGCAGCGGGAACACTGCACAGTCAGATGTGCCGTCCTTCAGATGAGACTTTAAACAGGCCCCGCCCGTGCCCGTTCAACTGAACGTTAAAGATTCCATAAGGCTATTTAAAAAGAGAAGGGAATTTTACTTCCTGGCTGTTTGTGTGCAAATCGGTTGCCATGCTTGCTTAGAAGCATACACAGTCACAACACTTGATGGTAAATCCTATGACGTGCTTTGAGACTGATGTGAAAGGTGCTGTACCACACGCAAGTATCATTATCATGTATGACTTATGTCTTTGCTAGGGAATCTTCATTTCCAAAGTATCCAGAGGAGGTCCTGCTGATCTTGCGGGTGTGCAGGTTGGAGATATGATGCTGGAGGTATGATGATAAAATTCCCATCTGCTTTTGACTTTTCTGAAAGGGATTATATAGAATTACATAGACTACAGTACGGAAACAGGCCATTTGGAGTTTATACTCTACTTAAGTTTCCACCCCTCCTAATCTCCCCTCCTTACACCTTTATTCCCTCTCCCTTGTGTATGTATAGAGTTTCCTCTTAAATGCATTGAGACTTTCTGCTTCAACCACAGCTTCTGGCAGCGAGTCCTACATTCTCACCACGCGCTGCATAAAAAAGTTCCTCCTAATTTCTTGAGTTACATTTCTAAGTGTTTATTGACAGAAATAGGCTCTATTGCATTTACAATCTGCAATTTCACAAACATTATTGGGTTTGGGAGTCTAATATGTAAACTAAGCATCTATTTTAGTAAAAGTCCCAGTGTCTGGTCTATCTCTTCAAGTCCTGCTAACAAGACAGACTGGCTGGCCTGTCACCAGTGGTGCCTTGGAGTACTGAGCACCTGCCAGTCTTAGAGGATTGAATTGAATCTGACTTGTTGTTGTCAAGAATGTTAACTAGAAGCACATACTGTAACATGCCTATTAACTGTTTCTCCTTTGGAGTTGGGACAACTACCTCTGCAGTTGTGGACTGGACAGTCTAGAGTTAGTTTAAGTGTTCTGAGAACTCCCCCCATCCCCGACCCCCTGAAGGGTGCTATATAAATACAAGTTGTTGGTGTAGTGTCTGACCTGTAGTTTTCTAAAAATGTAGGCTTCAGATTGAGGCTTGACATTTCTCATGTTCTTAGACTCAACACCATTTCAGTTTTAAAACTGAAAAATGTGAGAAAAGTTGGAGAATAGACTTAGCTGAAGAGCATCTTGATACAGTGATGGGGGGGTTTGTGTTCTGGAGGGCTAAGATTGGACAGACCGAAGGTCTTTCTTCATCCAGATCAATCTTGTGATCTTGTGAAGTGTTCAAAAGAAAACTATACAGGACTGAACTACATATTTGCTGTCAGAGCTCCCTCTGCAGGACTGTTGGTTATCTTGATACAATGGTGGTGTTCATAAAGGAAGCTATACCCAGATCATACTCTGTGGTAATTCTTACTATTATACAACATATGTGGCCCAGAGTTGTTCGGAAAATAGGAACATGAGGCCATTCAGCTAATTGTGTGTGTTCCACCAGTTTATTAGATCTTGACAGATCTCTTAAATCCAATGCCCTGCTCTTTCGCCGTACCCTATAAATACCTCTACCATCGAAGTACGTGTCTTATCTCTCTTTCAAACACCCCTATTGATTCCACCTCTACAGCTTTCTGAGACAGAGTAATCCACATCTTCACCACGCTATGCATGAAGAAATTCTCCCGAACCTTAGTTCCAAATGGTTTAGTTTTTGATTTTAAGGCCCTGCCCCCTTGTTATCTCACGTACCTGAACTGCCTTATTTTTTATGTGTTTGGGACTCAACAGCTGACCAGATCAATAGCAGTTTGATTTAAGTGGTTCCTTTCCCGTAGGGTGAATGTATTGAAATCTTCATAGATACGTTAGCGATCACCAAACAAGCCAAATGGCTTGTTGCAGGAGTCCTGTAGCTCAGTGGTTAGAGCACTTGGCTCACAAGCGAGAGACCTGGGTTCGATTCCCAGCAGGCGAAACCTTGGGCAAATTTCCTTACTCCACTTGCCTGATAATAATCCCTCAAGAAAAAAAAACAAATAATTTGGTCACAACCGTTTGTGGGACGCTGCTGTGCGCAATTGGCTGCTGCTTTTCTCCCACAAATATACAATTAATTCACTTTACAGTATATTCTGTGAAGCGCTTTGAGACGTCTAGAAGATGTGAAAAGTGCTATATCAAATACAAGGATTATTATCAGTAACATCTGTGATTCTATGCAAGTTTCCTTTTAATTCTATCCATCTGAAGGGACCAGATAATGAGGCTATGATAAGCTGTTTTATCTTGATTGAACAGCAGAACCAGAGGCCTGCGATTGAAGGCGGGTAAATGCAGAACAAATCTGCGGAAATACTACTTCAGTGAATGAGTGAGTGAGTGAGTGATAAACATATAGAACAGCCTCCCGAGGGAGATGGTGGAAGCAGAAAGTGTTGATTCTTACAAGAACAAATTAGATAGATTTCTGCTAGAAAATAATATTTCAGAATACAATATATTGTTTGGGACATGACAGGTGCATTCGACTGCCAGGATGGTGCAAGGCAAATTGGGTGGACCTTGATCTTCTTTTGCCTAGCAAATTCTTATGTTCTTAAGTGATAGATCTTTTTCATATAATTGAAGGACTTCTTTATTCCGCCAGTGACAGACTTGTATAACTCACTTGGTCAGTGATGAACCACATGGTCTTCTTTTATTGGCAAATAAGCCTTTGTAACGAATGACTTCAGATTCACCAGCTCGCAGTCTCCGATACGTCTCAGAATGGCTGGTGACTCATGTCTTCACCTTTGCAGGTCAACGGAATAAATCTGCAAAACGTGACGCATTATGAAGCAGTGAGCGCCCTGAAGAATGCTGGCACAGTGATTAAGATGGTTATCTTGAGGGACAGGGCTGCGGCAACTGACAATGTGGTTAGCTCTGACTCAGACACTGCTGACGCTGATGGCATGAGGGTCGCCCATCACAGTGAGTGCTGCAGCCGTGTAAACCATCAGGCCGCCAGCAGGGACGAACCTGGATCAGGGGAAAAGAAGCCAACCACCTGCAATGGAAACAGCACGGTTAGTAGGATTCTCGGAAATCTGAATTGCACTGAATAACTGGCTTCACGCTAGCTTCCCTCCCTCCCTCCCTCCTTCCCTCCCTCTCATACCTTCTATTCCCCTCTTCCTCATGTGAAAGTCGAGCTTCCTCTTGAATGCATTTATAACATCTGATTCAACCACCGCTTTAGACAGCGAGTTCCACATTCTCACTACAGTCTGCATGAAATAGTTCCTCCTAAATTCTCTTTTAGATCCCATAGTCTCCATCTTATTCTTGTGCCCCTTGGTTACAGACTCCTCAACCAATGGAAACAATCTATTTACGTTCACTTTATCAAACCCATTTATAATTTTAGAACTCTATAATGCAATAATAATACCAATAATAATACCTTGCATTTGATCTAGCGCCTATAATGTGAGAGCATCTCAAATCGCTACACAGAGAATTGCTGTTCAGTGGAGTGACTGTGTATTTGTAAGGGACTGCAGCAGCCAATTTGTGCTTAACAAGGTCTCGCAAGCAGCCGAAAAGCAGGATAGCACACCAGGAGAAATTCCTTTACTTTTTAGAGTAGTACCCCAGAATCTTTAATGTCCAGCTCTGAAAATCAATCACGAATCAGGGCTTGAGGAGCACGATCTTCTGATTCAGAGAGGATTGTGCTTGCTCCCAACCGAGCCAGTCTGAGAAATTATAATAATAATCGCTGCATTTGATATGCAAAAGTAGTTCCTCTCATGTTGACGGGATGTCTCAAAGAGTTTTACAGGATATATTGTAAAGTGTATTGGTTATTTCTGATGGGGTCAGTCTCAGCCAATATTAAATGCTCCGGGGCTCAACCCTACGTGAAGGCTGCGCTATAAATTTTGTAGGCAAACGCAGCAACTAATTTGAGCGCAACAGCTCCCTTCTCTTTTGAATTATGCCATGCAATTATTAATGTCCACCGGAATAGGCAGGCGGGACCTCAGTTTAACATCTCATCCAAAATACAGCACTCGTGATAACTCAGTGTTCTCCCAACACTGTACTGCAGTATCAGACTCATCAAATTAATGATTGAAACAGGTTACCAGGAAAGGTGGTTGAGACCAGCACGCTGGGCTAATTTTAACAACAACAAAAAAATGAGTTGATGCTGTGATGGAACAACGGTGGGGTTGGTGTTCTGGAATGATGAGATCAAATCTGCCGAAGGGCCTTCGTCATCTGAACCAATCTTGTGATCTTATGTTTGTAGTAGTGTTTAACTGTCATCCCCACGAGGTGGTGCTGTACACAATCTAATATCCGTCGACTCTGTAGACTGTTTGTGTAGATTGTCGCATTTCGATTCAGTGCAGCTCAATACCTCTTATTCGTTTCCACAGGGGTCTGTGGCAACTGAGAATCACAGTAGTAACTGTGCAAGTGGGACACTGCCAAAATCCTCCTCCTCGTTCCGTATTGTGAAGCACACAATGCCAGTGAGTAGTAGGGAGTCTTCCCGGGTATTGTGGGCGCAGTATTGTGCTGTAGTAATATTGGAGAATTTGGGACACTTCCATCAATTGTCTTCTAAGTTTAGTTCCTTTTAGAAGGAAAATAATTCAATCCTGCATTGCTTAATAGAATGATGGGGGGCTATTTTATATTAATAACAAGAAGGGCAAAGTTCGTCCACCATTGATCAAGCAAAGTAATACTCACTTCAAGGCCGACTGGTTTAAATAGAGTTTCAAACCCAGGGTGACGCTGAGACGCATTTAGCTGAAATCATAGAAGCTTACAACACAGAAGGAGGCCATCTGGCCCATCGTGCCTGTGCCAGCTCTTTGAAAGAGCTACCAACTTGTCCCGCTCCCTCGTTCCTTCCCCATAGCCCTGCAAATTTCAAATATATATCCAATTCTGTTTTGAAAGTTAATATTGAATCGGCTTCCACCAGTGCATTCTTTCAGGCAGTGCATCCCAGACTGTAACAACTCGCTGCGTAAAAAAAATTCTCCTCGTTTCCCCTCTGGTTCTTTTGCCAATTATCTTAGATCTGTGATTTCTGGTTACCGACCCACCCAAATGTGAATCAAATGTGAATCATTCTCACGTTGGATCTATGTGAAAAGGAAACTGTCAGCCATATCACTTCGGAGGCTCCCACTGTGCAAAAAATAAGAGCTACTTATCTCTCAGCCTCTAGGTTTTCCTTAACTCTTTTATTGTTTAAAACATAAGCCTTGTAACAAAGAATGGGATTGGTGGTGCTTCTGAGAGTGAAAGAATTTCTCAATCAATGTTCCCTAAAGGACTGATAGAAAATTTGTGTATCTCTGTGGTAGACAATTCTACCAGTGCCAAAGAGAAGCAGATATTAACTATGTGTGTTCCTTGGGAGGCCTGATCTTACATGACGTATGCTAACTTTATGATACTAGTCTACAACCTCTCGGAAATCAGCATCAAGCTGAACAACCTCACTCCGCGTAGTCATGAGGAGCAAGGCTACTCCAGAGAATTAAATTCACCAACATGAACATCTAATACAGTGGATGAGTGGGGGTGGGAGGGCAAAAGGAACAGTCTTTTGACACTGAATGCAAATTACTGGGGCTCACCAACGCAAGCTCTGAAGTGAAAGCCAGAACAGACTGGGCTGTGTGATGCTTCCTTTGCCTAGTACAGTGGAGCTGTAGGAGGAAACAAAGGCCTGAGGAGGTGAAGGGGAGGAAATTAAAGGACAAAAAGGATTAGTATTTATTAAAACCAGAGATTATATTTTTTAGTATATCAGTAACAAAAGACAAGGTCTCCTCCCCTCCCCTGATGTTTCAAATGCAGTCAACGCAACCCAAAGTCACACTGAGACATGTTTGGATGATATGTTGGAACCCATCCGAAAAGGAAAAGGAAAATGCCATATTACTTCAGATATACTCTCGTTATTAGATAAAACGAGTTGAAAAGAAGTAGAGCTACTACATACGATTCTCTTTCTCTGCAGCTTTATAATCATTACAGTAAAACTCGCATAAGTCTGATCTGCATAAATCGTATAATCACCAAAATTATAGATCAGCCCAAGTTGTTGAATTTCCTATTATTCATACTTTGCATAGGTCATATTCAGCCAACTGATATGACTTATGTGAGGTTCACTGTAATAGAGTCTGCATAATAAAGGAGATGAAACTTTCTGGTAGAGAATTATGGGCATGTATTAAACCGGCTGCTACTTGAAGTGAGAATGAATTACTGATTTCTCATGTTATTTTAGCAACCAGACCATCTAGCTTCCACTGTACTCTACGCAATACTTTTTCTTAACTTTATTTTTTAAAATGTGATTATTCATGCTTTTATTATTTTATGTTGTAAATGCTGTGCTTTCTGTTTGAAATACCATCGCCTTATTTCTGATTTATAATTTTCTTTCTGTTTTCACTTTTTTTTACTTTATCCTTGAAACATGCACCCTGCTTTCTCTTGCTCTCTCTATCGCTTGCTAAATTCTTCTTCCTGCCCGCATCCTAACTACCTTCCCAAAGCTGCCTCGGATTATCCTCACTCACCCATCGACCTCGGATGAGGATGTGGATCAATTAACGTTAGATCAGGAAGATGAACTGGATGAATTTGGAAACCCAGAGAGCCTGGTTTACTCAGGCAATTTAAACAATGCATTTTATCCTCCGTAAGAAGCCCCATTATCTTCATGAATAAATATCTCCCAAAAAGATTTGCTGTGTTCGAGTAGGAAAAAAAAATGGCCTTATTTGTTCGGTAAAATGTTAGGTAAAGTGATTTAAAACGGGATCCTTTGTAGAGGGCGGGTGAACAGAACAAGCTGTGCAGCACGAAATGCGCGATTGCATTTTGTGACACGATAAAACAAAACACTTTTGTTTTACACACACACAGCGCGTGAATCAGACCATTGGGCCACATGCTAAGGAACAGAACAGAGGCTTTGACACACTCATACTTAAAGAGTGACGTGGCCCTTTAAGTGTAATGATTATAATCCTTCCATTTGGTATAGCGCTTTTCACGTCTGAAGGACTTTCCAAAGCGCTTCACAGGAAAGAGAAGTGACTGTATGATTGTGGCCGAATGTGACAGCCAATTTGGACACCGCAATGTTCCACAAAGAGCCGTGAAGTGAATGACCCATTTTATTGGGAGATTATTGGCCAGGTTACTGGGAGGAACTTCTTTTTCTAGTGTACATCACGTGACTTGACTGTCAACTTGATATAAATCTAATATCTTCAAACCAAGCGATTGAACTTAGTTCTGTCATTCTGTTTTTTTCACTCTTTTTTTTCGAAACCTTTTAACATATTTTGAATCCTTTTAATACATTGCCAAAAATTGAATGTGATTTTTTTTCTTTCAATAAAATAATAAAAATATAGCCATTGAAAACCTAGAGCCTGCCTGTTATTATAATCATGCTTTAAGTTTGTATTATTCCTTCCATCTTTTTTACTTTTTGTTTTTCTATATATATATATAAAACAACAATAAATTACGTTTGTATAGCGTCTTTCACATTGGGAGAACATCGCAAGGTGCTGGAGAGTTAGGGATTGTATCCGAACTGGAGGTTGAGATCAGCAGGGGTGGAGAGCAGGGAGGATAGGAGTAGGATGGTGACTACCCATATATATATATGTATATAAAATAATGAAGGCTCTTAACAGCAACAAGCACATGCCTGTGATAGTGGTCTAGTCTGTTCTTGTGTCTCTGCAATTTCGCAAGCCAATATTGGAAGTGTAAGACTGAGACAAAGTGTTTTGCCCTTTGGTTTCCATCCGCATCCTCTCTCTCTTTCACTTGCCACTGATGGTCTGAAATTCCAGTCACGGTTAACCTTTGGTGACGAGTAATGACAGAGGGAAGTTCCCCTGACGCCCGACATGAACAAAGGTTCTATACCAGGGGCAGCGGTTGCTTTACGAGGGATCCATGCAATGGTTTGGGACTCCTACATTTTATTAGACAACGATACTGAATCTTATCCCCTGGGGTCCCTGACTGGCTTGCTGCACCTGTTTATGCATAACGT